CCCCACAGCCTCTCCCCTTTTCCTGCTTCCTTTCGGATTGCCAGCTACAGGTTGGGAAATTCCTGGATATTTGAGGGTGGAGTCTTGGGAGGCAAGGTTTGGGGAGGGAAGTGACTTCAGAAGGGTGTAATGCCATAGAGTCCATCCTCCAAAGCAGCCATTTTATCCAGGGGAATTGATCTCTGTCATCTGGAGATCTGTTGTAATTCCAGGTGATCTCCAGCCCCCACCTGGAGGCTATAGAAAAAAATGAGCTCACCGAAGAAAACCACTCTTCTATAACTTTAACACACTTGGTTATACTTTTTATAATGTTTATAATGCAAATTTCTTATACTAGACAGCATTCATCCTCTCCCCTTCCCCTGCCTCATTCTCTCCTTCTCAGCCATTCACCAACCTACCTTTTATGTATCTCCCATCTTCAGCTATAGTTATTATTTATTTACTTTTGTTTTACTGCACCTTTCTCCACAATGGGGACCAATTTACATAATTCTCCTCTTCCTTTCCCCTTTTTATCCACAGAACAACCGCATGAGGTAGATTAGGTTGAAACTATGTGACTGGTCCAAAGTCACCCATTGAGCTTCCACAGCAAGATGAAGATTTGAACCTGGGTCTCCCAGACCCTACTCTGAAGCTCTAACTGCTACACCACCCTGGCTTTCATATAGGGTGGCTGCTGTTGAACAGTAGCAAGCAGCCAGGCCTAGTTGAGTCATGCAAGTTGGGTGCTATCATGTCACCTAGAGATTGCTTCCAAGCCTAGGTTTGCCAACCTCCAGGTGGGACCTGGACATTTCCCATAATTACCACTGAACTCCAGATGACAGAAACTGGTTCTCCTGGAGAAAATGGCTGCTTTGGAGGGTGAACTCTGTGGCATTATATCCATCTGAGGCCTCTCCACTCCCTAAACCCTGCTTTTCTCAGACTAGCACAAAATCTCCAGGAATTTCCCAACCTATATCTGGCAACCTTAACCAGGCCTGGCCCCAATTATTCCTCCCTCACAGGCTAAAACAGGCCTAAAAAGGACCCTGCCCTCTCTCCCCCTGCCTTTGCTGGCAAAACCAAGACTGGAATATGTGGTTGCCTAGCGACAGCCACTGAGAAAATCCATTGCTTAACTCGACAGGCGCTCCTTTTATCGTTTTGGGATTTTTAACCACCCCCCAATGTGTTTTTTTTAGATTTCACATATTTCTGCAAAAATTGTTTTCTTTTCAGGTTTGTAGAAAGATTCACAGCTCCAGTCACCAGATTTAAGTATCCAAAGATTTCGCCAACTTCACTATTGTCTAGTCTACTTCCACACAGCCTTATTGTGTAACTTCAGAGTTACTGGATAATATGAAGTTCTGGATCAAGCAAATTGTATGTCTCCAAACTGGGTGTAGGTTACAACAGAAATCTGTGTGTGTTTATTTAGAAGTCATGCTAAATTAAACTGGATTGACTTCCAAATAAGTGTGCTTAAAATCACACGCTCAAAGCTCTCTAACCATTATATTCTGGAT